ACATCTAAATAGAAACAATAGGAAGTATTGAACAATAACGTTTTCCTTTATACCTTGTTAAAGAACTATAAATGACATGGACTGAAGCTTGCTGTTCATCAACAGTTAGAAAGATTAGATATCTTTTATATGCCATCCTTTAGAGGAAAACATGTAAATACACATTGTAGTCGAGTTGTTGAAGGATACCAGAGCAAAAGGTTGCAGTCTTCCCTGTTCCAGATTGAGCTTGTTGGATTACGTCAAGACCCTTGCAGAAAGGGACGATTCCTCTCTGCTGAACTGCTGATGGTTTTTCAAAGCCTGCATTCAAAAGAAAAATGTCATATCTGATAAAGAATGATTCTAACAAGACAATCAGCTTATATGAAGTAAAACCATATGCAAGATAAGAATAATATAAACTCACCATATGCATAAATTCCTCTCAAAAGATTTTCTTCCAGGCCCATAGCATCAAAACTATCATAAACCTCATCATATCATGTAAGCTCGTCGGTTGACAGTCTGTAGCAGCAGCAAAAAGCATTTCATCAGCAAGTGCAAAACAAGTACCTTACTCGAATCCCACTTGAAAGCTAGACCTAATGCTTCTTATATATAAACCAACATCTGATTATGAAGTAGCTACTACACGAAAAAATTACACAAACTTACAACTCAATTCATTTTTGTATCAAATTGGCGAGTATCAAACTGAGAACCTTCTGGTGCTACTCCTGCCACGACTGCAAAAAAAAGCAACAATTAATCTCCACAAACAGGAGAAGGAAGAACCAGCAGATCTACACATGTCAATGTCTCATACCAACAGAGGGTTTTACACAATAATTTCTTTAACTACCACATCTTACTGAATTAAGAGTTAAAGAACCACCTGCAAAATATTAAAGCACCAAAAAAATGAAAAGGAAAAGTAAAGCCTACTTACCAACCCTCGTTCTATATAATATCAAGCAGCACTTAATGCATCTAATATTCTACCCGAGCAAACTACAAACATACACCATTACAGTTACCTTGAATAAAGAATGAACCACCGAGATCGATTGAAGGGGTCCCTTAAGCTACTGAATCGGTAAAAAGAGAAGGGTTACAGAAACAATTAGGTTGAAGCCCATTGAAAATTGAACTTGGCTTATGAGAGCAAAGATGAAGAATCGAACCAGGAGATGATTGAATAGAGTAGAAAAATTGAAATGAAGAAAACCTGCTGTGTGATAAAAGAAGACGACGATGCTGGTAAGACGGAGGAGAGCAGGATAAGGAGAGCACCGGAGAGAGCAGGGACGATGGAGGAGAGCACGGGAGAGAGAGGGACGACGACGATGCTGGTAATGGCTGACATTCAAAAGATATTTTGAAGCTTTGATTTTGAATTTTGAATTTAAAAAGGAAAAGTAAAAGTTTAAGAAAGTGAAGACTGATGGCTCCATAAAGTAAATGCATAAAAAGCTTGTACCACATGTTTGAAGAGTTGTACTTAAGAGTTTTTTGAAAATCTTGCACAAAATGGTTGTAACTTGTGTTTAAAGATTTGTATTTAAGACTTTGTCTTAAATGGTTATATATGTAGTATATATATATATATATATATATATATATATATAGGGGCTGGTTCAAATACTAACCCAATTTTTTGTACTAACTATGCTAACCAACATCAACCAATCACATTTCATTTTTTAGTTTGGTTCAAATGTAACTCACATTTTAATGATAGGGGTATTTAGGTCATTTTTCAATCTTATGTAACTCCCAAATATTTTAAATGGGAGTTACAAATCTTAAAATTATACTAATTGATCTTCATTTATTAATGACCTCAAGGTTCACAATTAATTTGCGAAGACATTTTAAGTGAATATGAACACCCCACAAGATCTATGAAGAAATGCATAGCCACTTGAAAAACCCAACACATTAAACCCAGCACATTAAAATATAATATATGCACCCTTGTCTCAATTTTGAATGCGGTTTTTTGTCCTATATGTGCACTTTCCGGGCTGAAAATATGTAAACATATGAACCTGAGCATATGAACATATGCATATGGTTTGTAACTCCCAAATATCCTTATCTTTTAAATGGGAGTTACAAATCTTAAAGTTATACTAATTGATCATCATTTAATAATGACATCATGGTTCATAATTTTTCATGTTAATCATTTTTACATATGTTCTATATAACATGGTTTTGATAGTATAATATTGAATATCGTCTCTTTTGTCAAGATATCATTATAGTTCAAGTAATATGAATATTCATACAGTAAAACAGAGTGACGACAATAAGAACGAAAAAGCCAAAAGCGTTTGCGAATACATTCGGAATTCGAATTCCGAAAGTGAAGAAAATGATCAAACCGTTCATATTGGTATGTGCTCAAATATCATTCTTTTTTCCGTTTAAATGAACAGTTGTTACCTTCGATAATTATCTGCTAATCTGGATGCAATGAATGTTGTTGACATGTTGAACATCGTCCGTACATTTTGGTGTTTGATATGCCCGAGAAATTCATATGTTTTTCTGCTGCACACACGAACAAATCAAGGACGGTGGGATTTAACTCCAATTTTCAATGACACAAGTATAAATAATATAACTTATTCTTTCACTCTGTTTTTATATCATAAAGAATCAGACCTGTAATCATTTTATCGGGAAGTGCTGCGTGTGTGTCACCTAACCGTCCATGTTGTGATTGAGTCTGGGAGATATATAACTTATTTAAACAACTGTTCTTCATTTTACATATCTAAGACAACATGAACAACTAATGTTCGTTACATAGTTGTCTAAAATCAACATGAACAGCAACTCATTTGAACATATTGATTCTGCATACAATGAAACAAGATGAAGATATATGAATTAACAGCTACTTTCCATATATGTATGAACAAATTTTGAATCAATGTGATATCGGTCTTGTTCACACACACCGTATCACATTGCCGTAGTCGGTGGGATTTAAAGGCGACATTGAACAACTAATGTTCATTAGATAGTCTAAAATCATCACCATCATCATCACCATCCTACACACTTTCTACTTGTTTGGGTTTCACATAGACCACCACTTTAAATATACTACTACTTTCAACATCTACTAGTACCAGATTCCTAAGTACTTGCATTATCTACTAGTACCAGATTCCATAATGAATAGCTACTCATATGAACACATAGCAACTGTCCTTTATGTTCATTACACCCCCGTTGTCGACAACTATGAAAAGTGGTTACTAGTATTAGTTAAAATTGATCTAAGTCGAGGATTTTCGACTAGGAACATTCATTCTCACTCTTCGTTGAAGGTCCAATCAATTGACGTTATTTTTCCCTGCATGCTCTAAATAGTTCCAAAAGATGACAGCCTGGCAAAGCAAAACGAACCCAATATATCTCATACAGAGGTTGATGTGTAAGATATATGCAGGCTGTCACAAATACAACTTTTTCATGTAATAGCTAATATATGTAAGAGACAGGACACTTTAAATGTAAATATTTTTAATAGCTGAAAAAAAGCATTCATATTTTATGAACGATTGAAATCCGATATGTATAATATTTACGATTGTTCAACATTATGTTCACTCTATACATTGATATTCACTACCTACTGTGATTGTGTCATGAGAATGCAAACTTACATGCCCACCAAAATTGAGATGGAACCTTGCATCACTGTTCTATTTTTTTAATTCTCTAGTTTGTGTAATAAAAACTTTAGTTTTCAAGACTAACTACGTCTTTACAAGCAGGTTTTGATGATCTCACCCCTCCACATACCGATTTTGAATATGATATTGGTGAGACCTCAGAAGGAAGCAAGTATTTTATCCCAAATGTGGATGACGCACTTAAGCCAAAGACGAATGCACAATATGCAACTTTAAACGATGCTGAAAAGATGTACAGAGATTACGCGGACAAGGCCGGCTTTGATGTTCGTGTACATGCAAAAAAAAAAAAAAACAAACAAACACGAAAACATTCAAAATAGATGGTTTGTCTGTAGTAGAGAGGGTAACCCAAACAAAAGGCAATTTAATTCTTTGGATATTCAGCCCGGTGAGAGAAGATATCGCAATACGAACCTAAAACGTTGTGGTTGTAATGCATGTCTAAAAATCCACTTGACGAAAGATGGGGGTTGTTACGAGATATACGAGTTTGTTGAGGAACATAACCATGMGTTGTTYAACGWTAACGATYGTCGTTTCTCTAGGAAAAATAGACAGATGAAGTATACGGATTTCAAGACTGTACTCAACAGCTCGAGTTACAAAGTCGGTGTGAGAAGGGCACATCGTATTCAAACGACATTGAACGGGGGGTTTGAGCATACTCGAGTTTCAGAAATTGATTTCAAGAATTTTAAGAGGGATGCTGTTGCTTGTGTTGGGAACAAGGACGCAACGATGTTGATCAATAAACTATCAAATAGACGTGACGTTGTACCAGGTTATTTCTTCGAATACATGTATAATGAACATGAGTTGATCGCAATTTTTTGGGCAGATGAAGTTTCTAGGATTAAGTACAAAGAATTCGGTGATGTCATATCATTTGACGGGACATTTCGCACGAACAAGTAATATTCATAGTGCCATAGAGTTTTTAAAGATTATTACGCGTTTATATTTATATGGAATCATGACGTGGGAAAGAAATAGGTACAACTAATTCGCTGATTTGTGTTGCAGGCATGCCATGATTTTCGTGCCTTTTTTGGCCGTTGACAATCACAAGGCTTCCGTTGTCGTTGGGTCCGCTCTAATCAGTGGCGAGACAATCGAGAACTTTATATGGGTTTCAAAGGCTTTTATAAAATGTCATGAGAAGCAACCAGTTTTCGTCATTACAGACCAATGTTCTGCAATGAAGCAAGCTATCCCGATGGTGCTTACGGAAGCCAAACACAGACTCTGTATGTGGCACATTATGAAGAAAGTGCCTTCAAAGGTAAGTTGTATGTATGTAATGCTATGTAATTTTAAATGATGTTTATGTTTAATTTGCTTCATTAGTGGTTGCCATATACACGCAGGTCAATGTCGCACTAAATCAAGATCCTAATTTTAATAAAGTAATCAACAAGCTCGTATGGAACATACATATTGGACCAGCGAAGTTTGAGCGTCGTTGGCATGAGATGATCGAGCAATACAATCTGGGGGGTGATACTTGGTTCACAGATATGTATGCAATTCGACACTCGTGGATTCCTGCCTTTTACAAGGACACTCCAATGTCTGGTCTAATGAAAACAACCTCAAGATCCGAGAGTTCGAATTCGTATATTAATATATATGAATCGTACTGGTTTGATTTGGTTCAATTCCTTAATAATTACGACGTAGCTATAGAGAAGCAAAGATACAGACAATCTGTTCATGAGACAGTAACGAGAACCACTAATCCAAAATTTGTTACTCCGTTGCGTTTAGAAAGTTATGCATCAAGAATATACAGTCGGAATGTGTTTTTTGACATACAAAAGGAGATAAAGAAGGCTGTATGGTGCTGTGCTATAGAGAATGTTGAATGCCGGGATGTCTTAAAGACATTCGTGATAAGCCACAAGACGAAGAAATCATCTGAGAACATCACATATCTGGTATCATATCCCTATTCCGCACAACAATTTTATTTATGTTTTCGAAGTTTTTGTTTGATTTTGGTTGTTTGCAAACCTTTGTACTCTAGGTGAACCGTAATTACTCAACAAATACCGTCGAATGCGAGTGCAACCTATTCACGCGTAATGGTTATCTTTGTCGTCACGCGTTCAAGGTATTGATAAACGATGAAGTTGAATTAATACCGGATAGATATGTGTTACGGTGATGGAAACGACAGTTAGTTCCAGTACAGATACAATCTGCAAGGGTTCGTTACGGCGAGGTTGATGCCGAAAAAGAAAAGTGCATTATTGATGTATATTCGAAGGTTGACGAGATCATAAGCATCGCCCGGAATGATAAGTCTATATTGGCTAGATTGGAGAGAAATCTTGACACATTTATGCTTGATATAGCGAAGGAAGTTCCATATGAAAATCCATCTCAACAGAGGATGGATGCAATTAGGGAACATCTAGGTGTTTCAATACCGGATGAGGTGGATATTCTACCACCTTCTGGCATTAGGAACAAGGGATGCGGGACTGGTAAAAGACTGGTAAGTGTATCTGAAAAAATCCAGACTAATAGCAAAAAATCAAAACGAAGATGTGCAACCTGTGGACAACGTAGTGGACATGACTCACGTAATTGCCCAGAATTGGTAGATTAGTTATATTCAAGTAGTTAGGAGTGTTATCGTTTCGTTATAATTTGATGACGTATTGTTCGTTCGACATTTTTGGCGTATGTTTTTTGATACGATTATCACATACTTGGCACAAACATTATCTTGTTAGGAACTTGAAGGTTTTTGATGGTCCTTATCTTATTAATAGAGTTGGTTAAACATATGAGAATTGAATTATAATATTTATGGTATATAGCAGTGTTGTTGATAGTGCCTTCATTTTCATGTAGAAAGTAGCCTATGTTCATTGTAGCATGCATGATGCAGGAATCTCTAGATTTGGATAAGTTAACAAACAACATCCTCATTTGAATGTTGCAAAAATCTATGCTGTAGATGCCATATGATTTAGAAATGGAAATCCCACGTGAGGGAGATTTTTGTGTCATGGCCTAATTATATATTATCACAACAGCTATCTATTGCAACAACAAACTAACAATGCTATATTTCATAGCATAAACACTAAACTGTGCATTATTAAGGTTAGGCATTACGTATTGGTCTATCATAGATATGTGATTTATTTTAAGAACTAATTCATTATGTATGCGATCAAGTTGGAATAGTACCTAGAAGTTATAAAGTTTTTCTTTAGTCAATTATTCAACGTGGAGACCCGTACAGCAGTGTTGCGCTATTGCAGTTCCACTACAACTTCAGCATGCAATTTCACAGACTTGACGCCAGGATCCCGATGATTGTTTGCTGCATGAATTGTTGAAAATTAAGCCATTGTCAGATTTCAAAATGAAACATTGTAATAATTTAACAATCATTATTTATAACACGAACATAAATATGGATATCCTAACCAAATGCAACTACAATTCAGTTGCGTCCAGTAACTGAAAGACTATAATAACAATTATTGTAACAAGAGAAAATATTGGACACTGAGGTAGAGTTTGGTACACATATAGTATATCCACTGATCTCGACAGCACAAGTTGTTTGTATGGTGTTTGGTTCAACTAAGACACTACTAAACAAATTGCAGGTACAGTGTTTGGTAATTTGGACAAACCAGGGACAAAACAGTTAAAATGATCAGAATGCCCCTAAAACCTGTCTAACGTATCTATAAATCATATAATAGTTATATACATGGAATGAAAAGTTTTTTCCCTATCCAATAAATTCCATGTAACAAATGCAGCGTACGAGAACAATTAGGTAGTTGTACACATGCAAAAACCCATAAAAAAAGCATGGTACCAAGGAAACTATGCAGTTCATGAAATACAAAAAAAAAACAAGCAGGATCACTTTAAGTAAGTGCAATGCTAAAAGAATCAATTTAGTCCCTATTATCAACCTGATTCCAACTATTCATGTATCATTCCACCGAGTAACTAAAACGTAGAAATAGGGTTTATCAGAATTTGAGATACCAAAAAAAAAACACCATAAGAGGTACGCGATGTAGCGATAACACCGAAGGCACTATCAGAAGCATCATATAGTGTACTATAAATAAGGTAAATACGAAAGATTCAAAAAGCATTGAGAAATCCATCTACATGTGTTGTCTACATCTTCCCCCGACCGATTCGGGTAGCCCCACGTGTCTTATTCGAATTAAATGACATCTCCATCGCAATAATTCTTTCCACTTCCTTTATGATTGATGCCTTTTGGATGTTTTCGTCACTCAGTAGGATCTTCGAACAATACTTTGTTCATAGATCCTTCAACTATTTTTTTTGTTTAGTACTTTCTTTGTAAAGACCGCATTCCCATTTCCCTCCATTGGCTCCAAAATAAGTCTCCATATGTCGCATCATCATTACACCCAAATCAACTGAGCTCTCATTTAACTGCCACCTTGTCCTTATTCGCTCTTGATCCATCTCAGCATAAACCTTCCCCGCGTCATGGCCCTCTCTCAAAAGGTGAAGTATCACCATGTCTTGCTGAATAAATAATAAATTTGACAAGATAAATATGGTACTCATGAAACATGTAGAATGCGATAACTAATACTGGTAACTTACCAAAATTACCGGACTAGGACCGTATATATCATCAACATTGCCATCGCGATCCTTTGAGTCAATGATAACGATTGAGGGTCGTTTTRGATCAAACACAACAATGTAGTAGAATGATTCTTCCACAACCGGGAAGAATACCTGGAATTATAAATACRTAAGCWRTCGTTTATAATTTCAATGRACCTTTAATTTATTTTACGATAATATTACCAACAAATGTTGTATACATACCATGTCAACGTTGCGCATACTAACGAGCTCCCTATCATTGTTTGTGCAACTTGAAAGGTTGTTTTTGAAAATCTCATATCTCAGGTGAATGTCCAAAGTCTGGTCCCTCATGGTCAGATCCATCTGCACCCATAACAAATCCATAAGTTGTATTGAAGAGAATGGATATTATATAATGGTATGACAAAAAAAGGTGTATGATGAATGATGTTACCGAAACGCTTGTCGTAAAGAAGTAGCGTATGGGGGATTGATTGCTCCGTAATCTTTCATCCCGGTTTAGTACCGTCGACCACCCGTCCAACACATCTCGGCATACTACGGACTGGGATGCAAGAGATTGAAGCGCCTGCCGTGTTATTTGTCTTCCGTATGTGGTCACGAAAACAGGTTCCCTGGGTATTAACATTAAAACATTAAATAATTGAAAACATAGAACTCATATATTTACATAAAAGAATACTTTAAATTAAATAAGAAACGTTAAATTACAACTTACAGTATTCCGCCAATCCCCCTCATAATCCAATCATGTAACTTCCGCTCATCACTTGTTACGTCGAATGTAACAACACGCGTAACATAAGGTGAACGAAGCTTGAAACTCAGCTTCGGATCCCTCTTCGACAACGTCGGCCGCGCAGCCTTCTGGATTGATGATGTAGTCAACGCATCCCCAACAACAACTACAAGTGAACCCGGTGAACTAATCCCCAAATCAAATGATGGTGGCTCGATACCTCCATACAAATCAATTTTATTGTAACTGCTTTCCGCTTGCTTACATATCTTACTTTTTCGAAACTCATTCTGCTCACCACTTCTACTTCGTAACATCCCAACTTTCTCCCTCTGTACTTGTAATGACGGAATCCCGACCGTCTCCCTTTCGACAGAGCGTGTAAATCTCCTATTTTCCTTTGCTATCTGTATCGATTTCTCATTGGATGCCTTATCAACCTTCGCAATCACCGAAGGGCTCGTCCAGAATTGAGACAAGGGTGAGAGCAAATCTTGATCAGGAATGGTTGACATCTTAGGAGGTGTTACCTCAATAATAGGGAGGTCATGGACATGGCTCGTAGAAGGGGGTGCATCCCACTTGCTACTTTTAAACAAAGAAGCTAATTTTGTCTTGAATTCCTCTAAATCAGCATCACCAGGGAAACGTTCAATGAACGAATCCATCATCAAGTTCCCCTCCACTCTTCCCGAATAAAGATCCTCACTTTTTTTTCGCATCACCCTCATGCATTCCTTGGCAAAAACAACCAAAATACGATAATAAAAACAACATATGCAATGTGTATTAAAACATATATATGAAGTAGAAGGTAACACAATATACAATAAAAAAAATATACATATTTCGTTTTAAATGTTTCACATAAATTAAAAATGTTATTAACCGACGCATACAAAGTTATTATTAAAATTACCCTTATTTTGCATGAAGTTTATAATGCATAGACACACACACATAGAATGTGGATAGTGTATTCAACTGCTCTAAGCAAAACCAAGAGATCATGCAACCGATTGAAACTACGCAAGGATTTGTAATTGCGTCATATAACGGAATGAAACAATTCATCTTCACAGCAAATACGACATGATAACCAAATCATCTATGGTCTTAGAGGCCAATTAGGTTACATAGGAATTTAAGGAAAACAGGTGCCCTTTTTGTTTCTTATTTAATGTAGAAATGCAGTCCATAGAATATGTAAAGCTTTTAATTGACATCAAGTACAAGACATACATAATCCTAGGACAGAAATGACGATGATCATGTACTGAAAAGCTACTGTTCATACTTGTTATATATCACAGATATTATGCATTTCTTTTTACATTATATGTTCATTCCAGTAGCTGTTCACGTTGATTTTAGTTATCAACAGGAAGCATTACATATTGCAGGGATTGGTCATGGTCTAAAATATATTTTAGAAGCTCATAAAGGTCCGGCGGGAAGAGGATTGTACCGTGAGAGAAGCAATTAGGTCAACCTCTTTAAAATATATACAGAAAAAATAAGGGAAAATTCTTACGAATAGTTTATTGAGGCTATTAACTCTGAGTATATGGCTTGGGCTCGTGTCCGGAGCCTAAATTATTATCTTTATGAGCATAACTTGGAAACTCGAGTCAAGACAACAATTGAAGCTATGGCAGCATCTCAACAAATGTTAGCTGCTGTAGAATCTAAGATTGCTGGTCTGAGGCAGAAATTGGAAAGATCTAGACGGTAGAGTCTTTGTCTCATGATTCAAGTGTATTGCATGCTATTAATATGCTTCTTGTATTTGCTGACAGTATACATCCTTATGCACTGCTTTTAGGGTAAAATGTAGGCTGTCTAATGTCCTTAAGTCAAAGCATGAGGAAATGAGGCCTACCTTTGGTGAACGTGTTTTGTGATAAACAATATACACACATCCCATATACGGAAGTACAATAGATCACGTTAATATCACTCAAAACATAAACATAATTATAACAGTTTACAAGTTACCTCCTTAGTGATACGACTATCTTCGGCTTGATATCTTACTCTTGCTTCGGCCACGTTTTCTGATGCGTTACCCACTTCAACACCTTTCTTGCATGCTCGATCCTGGATGGTGGATGTCATAACCATGGATACTAAGTCGAATTTTTATCATATAATATCACAAAATCGTTAACCCATCATATTCAAATTGCACGAGAGTTAAAGATATGAACCATGTTTATTGATACACAATTCCCATACAAAAACATTTATGGAATGGACAATAGAATGTACACATATATTTTAAAAGTTCCCATAGCTAACAGGTATGAAATGTTAACAATAGCATTGGAGTTATTTGTATATTTATATACACATACAACCCATATACAAAGATGTTATCAGACACTGTATACTTGCTAATGTCCATTCCATAAACGTTATCAGCCCATATAAAACAGTATATGTTTACTACTTACATAAAAAACATATACTATACATACTAGTTATATGATGGGTTTTAAGATTCTCAGATTTTTGAATCTTGCACGTTCGAAATCAAAAAAATGTGGTGAACGTGGTTTGTGATAGACAATATACACATACATCCCCTATATGAAAGTATAATAGCTCACGTGAATATCACTCAAAACAGAAACGTAATTATAACA